AAACCCTAGAAGAAAATCTAGGCAAAACCATCCAGGACATAGGAGTAGGCAAGGACTTCATGAACAAAACACCAAAAGCACTGGCAACAAAAGCCAAAATAGATAAATGGGACCTAATGAAACTCCACAGCTTCTGCATGGCAAAAGAAACAGTCACTAGAGTGAATCGGCAACCAACAGAATGGGAAACCATTTTTGCAGTTTACCCATCTGACAAAGGGCTGATATCCAGAATTTACAAAGAACTCAAACAGATTTACAGGAAAAAAACAAACAAGCCCATTCAAAATTGGGCAAAGGATATGAACAGACACTTTACGAAAGAAGACATATATGAGGCCAACAATCATATGAAAAAATGCTCATCGTCACTGGTCATCAGAGAGATGCAAATCAAAACCACATTGAGATACCATCTCACGCCAGTTAGAATGGCGATCATTAAAAAATCTGGAGACAGCAGATGCTGGAGAGGATGTGGAGAAAAAGGAACACTTTTACACCATAAATTAGTGGGAGTGTAAATTAGTTCAACCATTGTGGAAGACAGTGTGGCGATTCCTCAAGGCCTTAGAAATAGAAATTCCATTTGACCCAGTAATCCCATTACTGGGTATATATCCAAAGGACTATAAAGCGTTCTACTATAAGGACACATGCACACGAATGTTCATTGCAGCACTGTTTACAATAGCAAAGACCTGGAATCAACCCAAATGCCCATCGATGATAGACTGGATTGGGAAAATGTGGCACATGTACACCATGGAATATTATGCAGCAATCAGAAATGATGAGTTTGTGTCGTTTGTAGGGACATGGATGAATCTGGAGAACATCATTCTCAGCAAACTGACACAAGAACAGAAAATGAAATACCGCATATTCTCACTCATAGGCGGGTGATAAAAAATGAGAACACATGGACACAGAGAGGGGAGTACTAAACACTGGGGTCTATTGGGGGGAAAAGGGGAGGGCCAGTGGGAGGGGGAGGAGGGGAGGGATAGCCTGGGGAGAAATGCCAAATGTGGGTGAAGGGGAGAAAGGAAGCAAAACACACTGCCATGTGTGTACCTATGCAACTGTCTTGCATGTTCTGCACATGTACCCCAAAACCTAAAATGCAATAAATAAAATAAAATAAAATAATCAAGTTTAAATATACATAATTGTTGGTGCATTGACTACCCTGCGTCAAAAGTGAATGAAAGTCTCCTCCCTGCACCAAACAACAAAACCTAGGTAATGGCCAGCAGTGATTAATTAGAAATCACAGATACCTGGTTTATTTCATTTTGTTAAATGACTCACATGTTTGAAAGGAACACTATCCATTAAGATGCATTTATTAGTTCTCAAATTCCTAAAACAAGATGGGTTTACATTTGATTTTTTTTAACCCATTTAAAAAAAAAACAAAAAACAGGACTGGCTATGATTTAGATGCCATTAATGCTCTTTCCACCCCCCACCTTGTATATGTGGGATTATTTTCTTGTGGTTAATTTATTAAAATGTGAAATGTCCATTTTAAATACAAATATCAGGAGAAATGAACATTTGCCTGAATACTATGGCTAAGCATAAATAACATTAGAATCTCCTTATAAAAAGAGAATGGTTTTGAAAAGGCCAAATAGTACATTCTAAATTTTTTTCACAGTTGACTATTGTAGCAGTGTGGAGAAATGGGCTGGTTAACTGTGTTGGTCCAGTCAGTCATTTGTCTATACTCCTAGTGATAAGAAATTAGGGGGAATAATGAAATAAGTATACATATAGTTCTCATTTTTCCCTATTGCTGAAACATTAGTGAAAGGGACCCATGCATGTTACTAAAAATTAAGTTCAAAACACTTAAAATAATTCTGTATTAGAAACTTGACTCTATTATCACAATTCTCTTCTTTTGGAAGTCATACTGGGCTGGATAAATGCTCCAATTCCATCATTATTAACAGTTAAGAAGCAGAAGACTATTCCATCTAGTTCAAACTGGAGGTTTTGTTACTGCAACACTGACTCCTGCTTGGTTGTGTAAGTTCAGCAAGGTTTACTCCTCTTCGTCTGGCAGAATTTGCTCCTGGATTTGGTGGTTCCTTCTTTGGCAATTTTTTAGCTATTGCCATGAATATCTCATTTGCATTCATTGATGTTTCAGCTGCTGTCTTCATGAATAATAAACTATTGTCATCTGCATAGGACTGTGCTTCCTGGAAATCTACTACTCTTTCCTTTGCGAGGTCAGCCTTGTTTCCTGATAAAACTACTACCATGTTAGAACTTGCTTGCCTCTGAAGTTCTTTAACCCAATTTTTTGCTCTTGCAGAGGACTCCTCATTTGTGTTATCATATACAACTATGGCTGCTTGTGTCCTCTGTAGTACATCGGTGCTAGGCTACGGTATTGTTCTTGACGAGCTATATCCCATCTTTCAACCTATACTGTAGTGTCATCAAGACACACAGTTTGGGTTAGAAAAGCAGCTCAATCTGTAAAACTACTTTAACTTTCCTGAAACGTTTATTTTCTGGCTAAGAACCATCACTCTTAGATCTCTTCATTTTCTCTTCATTCCCATCACCAGCACTAGCGGTTGGTTTTCTTTTCAGGCCCATATTTCACAAAGAAACAGCTTCTATCACTTTGAGAGTTACCTCAATGGTACTCTCTTAAAATTCATGAAATTGACCTTCCACAAAATGAAGCACTAGGCTTGATTTGCCAACAGCAGACTCTTTCGGAAGCACTAGTTTGAACTGGCATATTTTATTTACAGTATTTGGCCCATTGGGTCTTATTGCACCTCAATTAGCCATGCCTAAATCTGAAATAAGACACTAATTTCAGACTCTTCAATGAACTTCCTGAATTCAAGGGGTCAATTTTCTTCTTTCAGGAGGTAAAGAAACCTGAGACGCAGCAAGCGGAGCTGCCAGCTGAAGCTTCCTGGCACCAAGGCCTAGGCGTGATCCATAGGACTAGAGTGTGTCTAGAGAGTGTGTGCATGGCAGTGGTGGTGGAGGCCGTGGCATCTGTTCTTCACGCCGCGGTGGTGGAGGCCGTGGCATCTGTTCTTCACGCCGCGGTGGTGGAGGCCGTGGCATCTGTTCTTCACGCCGCGGTGGTGGAGGCCGTGGCATCTGTTCTTCACGCTGCGGTGGTGGAGGCCGTGGCATCTGTTCTTCACGCCGCGGTGGTGGAGGCCGTGGCATCTGTTCTTCACGCCGCGGTGGTGGAGGCCGTGGCATCTGTTCTTCATGCCACTCCACCATGTCTATTTTCATGTGTGTATTTTCGCTAATGAATGATAAGGTTCAGTAATTGTTACATTCTTTTTTGTATCCCTCACATTGCTTCTCATTTAGTGAAAAATCACTATTCATTTGATTTAGCATTGAAACTGATCTGCCCTTTGTTTCTTCAAATGAAAGGGCAGAGGTAAGTCAAAGATTCAGTAGAAGCAGTTTTGGCTGGCCCTTTATAGTAATTGAATATTTATTATATTTATGTCTTAATGTCTCACGTAGATTTGTTAGTGTTTTCTCTTTAAGGCTATATATAGATTGACCAGATTTGGACAAATAGAAGAAGATGGGTCATTTGCTTTTGATTACATGCAAATAAATGTTTGATAAGTGTTATTTATTTATTTTTTTAAATTTTGAGATAAGGTCTCACTGTTGCCCAGGCTGGAGCACAGTGGCATGATCATAGCTCACTGCGACCTCAAAATCCTGGGCTCAAGTGATTCTCCTGCCTCAGACTCTCAAGTTGCTGGGACTACAGGTATGTGCCACCACACCTGGCTAATTTTTTTTTTTTTAGTAGAGACAGAGTTTCGCCATGTTTCCCAGGCTGTTCTCCAACTCCTGGGCTCAAGCAATTCTCCTGCCTTGGCCTCCCAAAGTGTTGGGATTATAGGTGTGAGCCACTGTACCTGGCCTGATATATTGCTGTAATAGTCTATTAATAATAGTGATTCCATTAGATTATGAGATCCTTAAAAGGAGAGAATTCTAATTTATTTTATGTCTCTGACTCTCACACTCAGGACAGTGTCTGTGCCAGCTATTGATTTACTATCTCTCACTCCAAATCCACCCTTCTTTGCCTTTCTTTGTGACACCAGAGCTGAACTCTAAACATTTCTCCTTTGCAGTTGGCTTTGTCAATAGAGGGTATGGGGGGACACTGCATGGTCAGAGCAGGAGGAAAGGGCTTCCCTCTGGCAAGTTTCCTGTGGCAGCCACATTCTTTCCAAAGAGATGGGAAGCAGCTTTGGTTGAGGGAGGGCAGCTCTTATATTTACTTAGTTTCTTCCTTGTTTATGCAATCTCAGCCTGGGGTAGTAGCTGCTTTCTGCATTTGTTATTTCTGGAATTCCTAGAGTCCTCTTTTATGGCTTTTAGTAGTTTACTACCTTTTATTACTAAATAATTTTTAAACATTAAGTTACTCGTATGGTTTTTATCTTCTGACTAGACTCTGACTGATACATTGCCTGATATTAAGTATTTAATAAATGTTTGTTGAATAGTAAAGGCAGAATGACAATGTGGCTTAGATGAGAGTTTATAGTTCTGAAAACTTTAAGGCATCCTACATTTTAGAAAATATTTTCTATAAGCCTTGGAGACATTTATCTCCAATTCCTCTCTGTTGGAAAATTAAAATTTTACAGCTACAATATACACATGACATATACATATATATTTACATATACATGATATATACCTACACGACATATGTTATACAGCTTATATGTACATATATATTTCATTAATTATAGCATATTAAATACCATATGATGGGAATTTTTTTCCCACAAAACTATAAATGGGAATGTTTTGTTCCACAGGGGCTCATTTCCTGTCCACCACAAGAATCCCACCATGAAAAACAACAGGTTGGTGGTATGGTGGAGAGAATAAGGCTACTGTTAATGACAGCCCCATATTCTGAACCTACTGTTTATCAAGAGGCTGACCCTTACCATTTCCCAGCCCTGGGCTTGGCTGTCTCCAGGAGAATAGACATCAACTTTGCACACTCCATTTTGACTTTGTAACCAATCAACCTTATCTGACATCTGGAATTAGGAAAAAAAATAAGAATCATCAAAAGGGCAGATTACACAAAAGTAAGAAGAAACGTGGTGATCATGGCTAAGGCATGGGAAATATGAACAATGCCTTCAATAGAGACCTTCCCCAACAGCCACTTTAGACCCACTCCATTCTGGATATCTTCATCCTCAGCTCTCAATGGAAGGAAGATTTCTTAAACATATTTGCACCTCTAATGAAGAAGCTAGTGCCTGGTATCTGCTACAGGTGCTTAACACATCTTTGTTAAGTGAATGAACCTAGCAGCCATGTCCCACCCCTTTGTGGCCTTGCTTGATGACCCTCCTCCTGCACCCACTAGATTTTCAGTAGACATTCAAAACTCAATGTGACCAAAATAGAATTAATTTAGTGCTCCCTTGTTGGTGGTTCTTGCCCTACCAACTTAGCTTTTAAGTAAAAGATGTTTTATTTTTAATTAATTTCTAAAGCTGTAACTTACTCATACTAGCAGTAAGTCTGGTGTCTCTCTTACTAAAGACCAAACCCTCCTCATTAGCCAAGGATCCTAGGGGAATTCTCAGCCTCTATGGTTCAGTGGAATTTCTGAATATCAGACAGGACAAAAGAGATGTCATGTGTGCCATCCAACGGGCCTTTGTCCATGGATGCAGTGATTTCCTTGCTGAAGTGAATTCGTTCACAGCCTTCCCAATACTTTGCTGATTCCCTAATCTCGGTAATGGCACCACCATTTACCTGGTCTTCTAAGCCAGAAAACTGAGATTCATTTTAATTGTCTTATTCCACCCCAAGCTACTTCTTGCTACTATTTCTCTCTTTTTATATTTGCAGTCATTTTTCTTAAAGGAATTGCTTAGACCTGCTGCTTTCATTGATTGATCATAGTCCCTATTCTATGTACTCCTTACTTGGTAGTCTTTGAAAACATGGTCAACTATAATGACTTAGAGTTATCCACTGATCATCTAAAATTATGAGAACCTTGCCCTCTTTTTCTATGCCAGACTTCCATTCCCAGGCTTTCACATAGATGTTTCCCTTCTTATATTAAAAACTTTGCTCAGCTTATCCCTCCTTCCTGCTTCATCCCCTAGGCTCAGTTGCCATTAAAAAAATTAAAAACAAAAAAATTCTGCTCAGACCTATACTTCTCGATTATCAAGGTGGAATAGCTACACCATTTCTCCTCCCCAATGCCTCAAACATCTTTGTGAAACAGAATATCTCTGTATTTTAATTTCAACAAAATACTTGTTTAAAATACTGTTGTAATCAAGCCCAACAGCTTACCCTGATTTTTTATAGTACAACTGTGTTTTATGAAGAACTGCTTGAAGTGAAGCAATATTAAGGCGTGAACATCTGGTTAACTGGAAATATTTGTTTTAATGACTTTGGACTGTGGTGAGGATAGACATCCTCCCTCAAAAAAAAAACCAGTACAGAGCAATGAAAGATTAAATACATGATTGAAACTTACATAAGTGGATATGTCATTTTTGTTATACAGGATATTTGAGATAATCATTACAAAGGAAATGCAAGATCTTTTAAGAGCTACTTATTATTTGCTCTCACAATAATTTGCACCTGTTTTCACACAGAAATCACTACCTCAGATTACTGAGCTAAGGAAGCAGTTTATTTTCATCTTCCAGGTATCCAAATACAATGGATTCCTTAGGTAAACAATGGGTCCTCCACTCTAATTAGACATGAGAATCACCAAGAGAGCTGTATAAAGATACTGAATCCAAGTTACCATCCCCCTGAAAATCTTATTTTAATGGTTTTTGGTTGGGGAAACAGGCATTCTTAAAATTCTTAAATGCTCCCTGGGTGATTCTAATATACATCAAGAATTGAGAATTTCTAGACCAGGGCTTATCTGGAGAAACTCTGTGAGAAACACTGGCTAGGTCCAGAAAGATAATTATTTACCCATGTCTTCCAGATTTTCTAACTTTATTTTTTGAGACAAAGTCCCACTCTGTTGCCCAGGTTGGACTGCACTGGTGCAATCTTGGCTCACAGTAAATTTGCATCCCAGGTTGCTCACCACAACCTCCACCTCCCAAGGGAATATCTAATTCCTTTAGATATTCCAGCACTGCTAACATCTTGGAAGCTGTGAAATTTTCTCGGGGCCAATAGAAGGATCGGATTAAAATGTTCCTCAAAAATGTCAATGTGATAATTACCTGCCTCAGCCTGCCAAGTAGCTGGGACTACACCAGGCACACCACACTTGGCTAATTTTTCTATTTTTAGTAGGCATAGGGTTTCACCGTGCTGGCCAGGCTTGTCTTGAACTCCTGACCTCAAGTGATCTACCTGCCTTGGCCTCCCAAAGTGCTGGGATTGCAGGTGTGGGCCACCCTGCCCAGCCCCATTTCTAATTTTTTTTGGTATCTTAGTTGAATGTTTTGTTACCTTAACAAGGAAGTTGTTAATGTCTATGAGGTTAAACCCTGTACGTCCTCTGCATAAACATATATACATATAAATATTTTTAGGCTTGCATCACTATTATATATACTTACATATAAATGTTCTTATGCTTGCATCATTACTATAAAGCAAATAACGAATGGTATTACGATTTGGCCAAAGAACTGGAAGACTCAGAAGCAGGTTATCCTAGATTACTGATGTACTAGTGAGAGCCATAAACACAATCTCTTAATTTTCATTTTATATTTCATCCAAATGAGTTAATTCTAACAGAAAAGTGTGACAAAATCAATAGGATACATTTCCTCATTTAAGCTATATACAATTATAATGCTGAAAATTGTGCACAAAAAGTATGGGAATTATGTGATCACTTACTCTTACTCAGGATAGGTTCTGAGACAGGAGGAAAACTCTGGATTAATTCATTGTTGTTTTCAGCATCCCTCAGTTTATCACACCTCCTGCCATGTAATACAGGAATCTGCAATGGAAAGATACAGATAAGAATGACAGATTTTACAGATGAAACTTTTTGCTCTTATTACCAAATAATGATTTTGACCTATTTATTATTTTTCACATGTGCATTTAAATAACGAGCTCAAAGTGACATTCAAATTTCATGAGTGCACATCTTATTCTTGGTGCATTCTAGCAGTTCCCAGATGACAAAAACCGTTCCACTTTTGGACCAATTATTTCTTAAATGACTATTGTTATTCCTCACCTTCAAATCATTGGTATACAGTCTTTTTAAACAATGAAGACACTAAAAATTTTCAGCTTAATTTTAAACTTGCTTGAATAAGAAGTTGGAAGAAAAATAGCTAGAATGAATAAGCACCCTAAATTTATGGAACTCAAAACACTTTGCAAGCATCTTTGAGGACTACAAATATACACTCTCAAGTTATGAGGGGGAATTCACAGGTATCTTTCGATTTATTAACTTCCTTGTTCTAATTCTACTAAGACATTTCAGTGGAAGACATTAGAGCACTGTACTCTCTTGTCGAATATCCACCCAGCATCCCAGCATTGGCTCTCTAAATTTACCCTTACTTTTTAGCCCAGGTCAAGCAAGGACTACCCTATCCATGAAATATTTTCTAGATACCTAGTGAATGTGATTGCTCCCTCATTGAGGTTTCTATCATATTTTGTCTCAACATGTACATTCTATCTTGTATTTTAATTGCTCCCATATATTTCATCTTCTTTACTGGGTGACTTCATAAGGGGAGAGGCATTTTCCTATTCATCTTGGTATCCCCCATAGTAGGTAGTATCTAAAAATTGGAGCATAATAATTACCTGCTGGAAGAATGAATATGCACAATCTGCCCATTTTCAGATAGCTCATTTTTTCTTTTGGATTGGAAAAAGAACAAAAAAGAGATGGATTGCTCAAATCTACTATGGTGATAATTCATATATTCAAGACTTCTTGAAGCTCAACTCCTTTGGGAGATATGTGCACCCCAGAGACTTAGTTATGATTTACTAGCAGACCTTCCTATTCCACTAGTACAAATAAATCAACATCTCAAAAGTGCTTTTGTATTTTTTTTCACAGAAAGAGAACCTACTAGTCAAATATATTCAGCAAACACTTCACTTACTTATGTTCTAATGTTTTTTATTCTATTTTATAGGTCCTGTGTGTGTGTTTATCTGCATTGCGAAGCTTGTTTTGGACTTTTAAAACTTCCTAATTGTCTTTATAGATGATAGCATCTATAAAGGGCACTTTCATACTTATTAATGGTTAACGACATTCAGATTTCTAAATCAATGTTTCTCATAACAAAGTGGAAAAAAAGAAAGGAAGAGCTAAAGAGTTTAATGAAGTCAGTGAATGGATTCATCAATTATTATAAGTTCAAAAATTGGTAAATAACATCTTGGAGTTAAAGAAAATGACACTTCATGTTATCTATTAAATTAATGACAAATGGACCGTAGAAGCCATGTTTTCTAACACTCTCATCTTATAGATTAGGATATTGAGGCTCAGAAAGGAAATGCTAGAATCAGTGCGTATATATTTCTTTAGATATTCCAGCCCCACTAACATTCTGGCAGCAGTGAAATTCTCCCATGGGCTGAGATCTTGTCCAATCTGTAAAAAGATCACAATGTCAGCAGCAAAGATGGTAGGTTTGACTTCAATGCTGCTAAAGGAGAGGTTTGTTTATTTCCAGAGGTAGGATTAGAATTGTCCAAGCAGGCTGGGCACAGTGGCTCCCACCTGTAATTCTAGTACTTTGGGAGGCTGAGTTGGGCAGATCACTTAAGGTCAGGAGTTCGAGATCAGCCTACCCAACATGGCGAAACCCTGTCTCTATTAAAAATACAAAAAAAATGGCCGAGTGCATTGGCTCACATCTGTAATCCCAGCACTTTGGGAGGCCGAGGCAGGCGGATCACGAGGTCAAGAGATCAAGACCATCCTGGCCAACATGGTGAAGCCACATCTCTACTAAAAATACAAAAAAAATAGCCAGGTGACATGGTGTATGCCTGTAATCCCAGCTACTTGGGAGTCTAAGGCAGGAAAATCACTTGAACCCAGGAGGTGGAAATTGCAGTGAGCCAAGATAGCACCACTGCACTCCAGCCTGCACAACAGAGTAAGACTCCATCTCAAAAAAATATATATATATATTGGATGACAGAAGAACAAGGGTGGGTTGAACATAAAAAGTTGCCTATCACTTGTCACTGAATTCTCCCTTCCAACCACAGAGGAGCAGAAAATGGGCTGTTTTATCAGTCCAGTAAGATTTCCTACCTCTGTAGCACTTGAATAGTGAACCACAGAAGACTCCAGAATATACTTTTAAAGTCAATGAAGATGGGATTGTTCAAGTCAATGGGATGTTCTTCCTCAGCTCAAGATCTTGTTTCCTTCTGTGGCTTTCCATGTACCTCCCCCTTGCTGGGACTGGAGAATGACATCAGAATCACAATTGGTGATATCACTGTTTCTATAGCAACAGTGGTGAGGCTACCAGAAAATGAGTGGTCAAAAAGACAAAGAGGAGGAGTGAAGATATGCTCCAAGGCGCTGATGTTTAGTTTGGAAGGACTGGGCTTTATTCTGATTAATTCTCTCTTTAGAGCAGTGGTCCCCACTCTTTTTCACACCAGGGACCAGTTTTATGGGAGACAATTTTTCCACCTATGGGAGTGGGGCGGGAGAATGGTTTCTGGATGATTCAAGCGCATTACATTTGTTGTGCACTTTATTTCTATCATTATGCCATGATGTAGAATCTGTAGGAGCCCTGGTTTCCTACAACTAGAGGGTCTCCTCTGGGGGTGATGGGAGACAGTGACAGATCATCAGGCACTAGATTCTCATAAGGAGTGCACAACCTGCACTTTCACAATAGGGTTCAAGCTCCTACAGGAATCTAATGGCAAAAGGTGGAGCTCAGCTTTGCTCACTTGCCCACCACTCACCTGCTGTGTGGCCAGGTTCCTAGCAGACCACTGGTCCATGGCCTGGGGTTTGGGGACCCTTGCTTTAGAGCGTTTAATATACGCAGGGGAATACGGGAGGGGGACATTTTGCCAATGGATTCCACTTAAAACAGCAGAGTAAGTATTATGTATTAACAAATCTAGAGCACTGTAGGGGAGAATCAGAAATAAAAGAACTGAGGGTCTAAATTTTATGCAAATCCCATGGAATCACTTTATTTTGTCAAATCCAACCAGGACTCTTCTTATTTATAAGCATCTTGCCTTTTGTAAAAATAATATATATATATATATATATATAATATTTTTAGGATATTTTGTCTAAACTGATCATCTCTGGGTTATAATTTGTCTTAGGTGCTCAGAGATACAATGAACTAATTTATCTTTTGCAATGCCTGACCGCCTGACCTGAGAAGCTGTAGTAGGAAAAATCAGACCATGAGGCAATTGGTTAGCGACTCTTCCTTTGCTTGGGGTGGAGTGGGATGGGGGCGGTCTTTATTACTACATTCTCTGTGGAAATGTTACCTCAGCTATTCCATAATTAATAATGAAACACAGGACTAATATGCAGTTTCCATGAAGCAAAAAGAACTTCCAAGCAAGGCCACAAGATAATGATGAAAATTGCAACAGATTCAAAAGTGACTGGTTTATCACAGACTTCCTTCAAAAAGGTTATTTATTGCCAGGTGCAGTGGCTCACGTCTGTAATTCCAGCACTTTGAGAAGCAGAAGCGGGCGGATCAGTAGAGGTCAGGAGTTCAAGACCAGCCTGGCCAACATGGCAAAACCTTGTCTCTATAAAAATACGAAAAATTAGCCAGGCATGGTAGTACATGCTTGTAATCCCAGCTACTTGGGAGACTGAGGCAGGAGAATCGCTTGAACCCAGGTGGCAGTGAACAGAGATCACACCATTGCACTCCAGCCTGGGTGACAGAGTGAGACTTTAAACAAAAAAGTTATTTATCCATTGATGATCTTTTATATTAGGTCTCAAAAGAGCTCCTGTATTCTTTTCACATAAAGTGCACCTACTAATCAAATATATTTGTTAATATATCTCATTTTCTTTCTTTATTTTTGAAATGGAGTCTCAACTCTGTCTTCCAGGCTGGAGTACAGTGGCAAGATCTTGGCTCACTGCAACCTCCATCTCCCAGGTTCAAGTGATTCTCGCGCCTCAGCCTCCCAGGTAGCTGGGATTACAGGTACCCACCACCACACCCAGCTAATTTTTGTATTTTTAGTAGAGGCCAGGGTTTCATCATGTTGGTCAGGCTGGTCTCAAACTCCTGACCTCAAGTGATCCACCTGCCTCAGCGTCTCAAAGCACTGGGATTACAGGCATGAACCACTGTGCCCAGCCTTTTCATCTTTAAAATAAAGAAATGGGGCTTGCTGAGCTCCTAAGATCTCTTCTAGCTTAACATCCTGATTTTGATACTTCAGTGGTATTTGAAAAGTACTGCATGGACCTACATATAGTACTTTGCAGATGACAAAGCATCTTTGCATCCATTATGTCACCCAATTCTCGTAGTAACCTTTTGAGGTAACAGGGTAAGTTTTATTTACCCTGTTAGACAGGTGTCGGAGCTTGTCCAGGTAACAGCTAACAGCTGATAAAACTGGGAATGGGATCTAGTATTCTGGGTGTTAAAAATCAGTGTTCTTTCAGCTGGGCACAGTGACTCATGACTGTAATCCCAGCAATTTTGGAGACCAAGGTGAGAGGAGGTCTTGAGCCCAGAAATTTGAGACCAGCCTGGGCAATATAGTTAGACCCCATCTCTTATGAAAAAAAAGAAAAATCAGTGTTCTTTCATTTACATCATGCAACCTTGAAAGTAAAATTGAGAACATGAGGGAGTGTTTAACTTAGAGATTTTAAATAATATAATTGGCAGTGTTATACAGGAGTTCCAAGATTGCTGGTAACAGTCAGGGTCTGTCAATTCAAACCAGGAATACTATCCGTATTGGTCCCAGAATCAAGTATTAGCAAATTGTGTTAAATGAACATAGGATGAAGCCAAGATGACAGCGTAGCATTATTAACCTTCTCTGGTGAAATTCAAGGGTTTCTCTTGTCTTCCAATTCAATTTGGTAGGTGACACTTCAGAAAACGGTAGGGGTAAGAAAGAGTGGAAACAGCCAAGATTTCAAGCCTAGTAATAAAGCAACTCCTACAGCCCTACTCACCTCAGTCCTTTTTGTCTATCCCAGAAACACATACTTTTTCTGAAAAAAAAAAGCACTGGAAGGATTATCAACTAGAAAGAACCCGCCCTCCCCAAACTAGGTGGTTTTTCTGATAAGCCCAAGGCATGTTTCACAGGATCACTGGTTGCTGTTTCTTACCCAAGAATCTGGAGAGGTTGACCGTAATAAAGTATTTTAAAATCCAAGCACTTAGCCTAACCTGAAATTTCCTCAGTCTCCAGATGGCTCTTTGTAGAACAATGCAGATTCTCAAAGGTGTCCACAGTTAAAGAAAAAATTACAAACCATTGCGCTAGAGAGAGCCATCTGCAGGTTCCTCTTAGACAGATGTTCAGATGGGACACATGGTCACTAAATTTTACATAATATTTCAGGAAGTTCACAGATTTCCTGAAGCCCACTCATGAATCACACTCCTGGTAAGAACTCCTGAATTCATACGCCAGGTGGTGATAAGTGCTTTGGTATATAAACTTAAACCAAAAATTGGTAGAATGATTACCACCTTGGACAGGATGGTCAGAGTTGTTTTCTCCGAAGAGGTCACTTTTGAGCAGAGACGTGAGCTGGTGCAGATACCCGAGTGAGCATTCCAGGAAACGCCAACAGCAAGCACAAAGGTCCGTAGGAGAGAAAGTGCTTGGCGGGCTCGACGTACATTTATCCACTTAGGACACACCCTCATTTCGGTTTCTCTTCTCCACTTTTCCCCTCGTCCTTGTCTCCCTTTTTCTCTCTCCTGGGACCTGGACCTCCCGAGCGCAGGGGGCTACACCTCCTTCTTCCCCTGGCCTCACCAGGGCTGCCTTAGCTGACATTTTCAAGGAACAGGAAACTGAGAGTCAGGAAAGCTGAGGTCTTCTACCGCGGTCTTGCCATTTTGCATGTCCCAAGTCAGTCACTGGTTAACCTCTGAACTTCAGGTTCCTCGGCAATTACAGATTACAAACAAAGACACATCTTGACAGCCTATTCCAGATCTGAAATTCCAACAGCCAAATTCTTTTTACTTCCTTTATTCCCCCTCTCCTTCACTTGGCCTCCCTTCCTGTCTCCTCTCTTCTCCCGGCTTTCTTAACCACAGTGGTACCCGAAACGCTTTTCCTCCTGGTTAGCGTCTGCGCAAACAGGCGTGGAAGATAAATTTTGACCCAGCTTAGCAGCCGTAGTCAGTCAGGAGTGCCGGCGTGAGGAATTGTGGGAGAAGATGGCGGCCGCCGCACAATCCCGGGTTGTCCGGGCCCTGCCAATGTCACGTAAGTGTCACCGGGAACGGCGACCCCTGATCGGGATTCCGAGACGGGGATCTAAGGTTTTGGGAGTGGCGCCGTGCTGCAGCGGTCACGCCGACTTCCTAGGCACTCTGGTTTTTCTAGGTCTGGAGCTGCCTCGGGTTTCTCCTTTTGCTTTCCGCTTCCCCTGTTTACATACTCAATTGTACATCTTGGGAGGGGACAAAAGATCTTGAGCAGCGGGATACGAAGGAGAGAAAGCAGGGTTACAGAAGGGATTGAGAGAATCAGACTTCTGATACGGTTGTAAGGGTTTAGGATTATGAGAAATATTTGTATGGGACAGGGAGAGAAATCTGTAGGGTAGCGAAGTAAGGCTAGTGTGGCGAGAGGTTTTCTTGGATTGACTTTATGACCTTGTGCAAACCCTTAATAGGTCTCAATTCAGATTCTTCATGGCGCGATGGAAATGATAATATTACAATACCAGGGACGCTCTGATAAGATTAAATGAGCTAATGTTTGTAAAAGCATCCTTTTAACCTAAAGCGTCTATATGGATGTAGAATGTGTTGGGCCGAGTGCCTTGGGGTCTGGGGGAGAGAAGGATGTTTGAGGAGAGAAGAATCAGGAGCTTGGTGGAAAGGAAAGTGAAGAATAATGAAGGCTATCTTAGAATTTGTTAGCATTATTTGTTTTCTCTCTAATCCGATTGGATCTGCTCCCAGTCCTCAAATTGGAAACATACATTTGCCCTTCCACTCACTAAAAAGCAAGGCAATTAGAAATACGGTTATACTTTATTATTATTCTTTCACCCTCTACTCTTCCACAAATATATTCCACTCAAACTCCAAAAGTTGTATTTGTTTCTTAGTGTATTTTAATCTTACAGAATATCATTTGCTTTCAAAATTGGCTGATGTCAGAATCACTCGTAGAGCTTTATAAAAAATAGAAATTAAGACTGATTGTAGAGCGATTGAATCAGAATTTGAGATTAGCTTCTTGCACCTTAAATTTTTAAAAGCTCCACAGATAGGTTTGATGTTCAGTCTAAGGCAAGGATTAGGAGTTTAGAGGATCCTCGTTTTATGGTTTTCCCTCATGGTTAGAACTCCTGCATACCACTGTGAAGGTGGTGGTGCACATCACTTACAGTGGATAGTTTTGTAGTCACAATGTCTTGCAAAAGCATTTGCTGGTTCTTGTTAAATTATTACATTTGTATGATATAATGTAGATTGTGAATGGTAATCACTGTTTATTGAGTACCTGCTATCTGCCATATCCAGTTCTAGGTATTTTAATTAATTTTCTCTTTTAACTTACCTTCCTCTGACTGACACCATAGCTTGTGTTCTTAACCACTCTGTGTTATTGTGTGGTAAAGTAAGTTTTTGAGTAAATTCTGGAGAGGCAAGTCTAGTATGTAAAATAAACCACACACTATAGGACAGAACTGTGTAAGACAACTGTATATAGTAAAGCGTGGCAAGACTATTATATATCACAGGAAATCATAAAAGGGAAAGATTATCATTTCAGGTACTGAAGGAAGATTGGAAGATGAGTGGAGAATTGTAGTGCTCCCATTGATCTCTTTAGGGCTGTTATGATCTGGAAAGTCTTCTGGGAAAGACAAGTGGGTGAGAATGGAGTCATGAGGTATTCAAGAGGCAGTGAAATGACTACCTGTATATCTGCGTTAATGGAAAAGGAGGTTGAATGTGTTAGATGGGATCAGACAGTGGAGACCTTTGAAAGCCAAGCAGAGTTTAGACCAGTAGTCTCCAAAGGTAGTTGTGCAAGAGGGCCTAATAAGTTATGGAAATATAATATTAGAACTCCTAAAAACTATTTTCTATAGTAACAATAGCTAACACTTATTTAGTTTAAACTCTATGCCAGACACTATTCTAAGTAATACATGATTTATAATGTGTATATCATATTGGTACTATGTAGAGCATGCATATAATTTTTTAAATAAAGACTTTAAAAAAATTAATGCACTGTGCAAGCAAATATATTGCAGTAGGAAATCAATGTAGGTTTTTAAGCAGAGAAATATAATGAATATATTGTTCTTCTAATAGTACCCATAATAAATGGAAGAAAGAGATGCTCAACCAAAGAGAATAATAATTTATATTTATTGAGCACCTACTATTTGCAAGGCACTCTGACAGCTGCTTCCCCATATATTATTAATTCTCATCAACCCTTTAAATTGTGAGCTTCATGAAGCCAGGGTTTTGTATTCTACTGTGATGGTCACAGTTTCTAGAATGATACTTGGCCCATAATTATTAAAAAAAACAAATAGCCATGTGAGGTTAGTGTGACGTTACCGTCTGAGAAATTTCAAAATAATAAAAGTAAAAGCAACTATTATTCATGGAATGCTTAATATGCTCTGGGTAATGTACTAAATGCTTTATGTCTAATCTAATCTTGCATCCAAGATTTATATCTAATCTTCTTAACAGTCCTTTGAGATATTAGTTCCTTAACTCTAGTAACTCTTCCCAGTTCATTGACTCTGCCATCTTTTCCCTGTCTTATCCTATGTCCTCACTTCCTTATTCTAATCATTCCCTTTTATGCATTCTTAATTCCCCAGCCCAACTCCCATCGTCATAAAAAACACTGACCCTGATTAAACAAAACTTTCCACGTAATTTGCTGCCTGCCACTAAGCAATGGAGAACGGGGCTACGGAAAACTCCAAACTAACTGGCCTTATGTTAAATTCATGCATACCAATCTCGAGTAGATTTTCAGTGCTACATTTTCCTAGGAAATCAGATGAGAACAGTCATTTTCCCACCATAAACTCTAATGGTTGATATGTGATAATTCTTTGCCTTTTCTCTTATTACAATGGGTAAGCTCCTTCTGCTCTGTTCTGTGGTCAGTTCCTTCACTTTGCATTTGATCTCATCCTCTCAACTATTCATTCCCTTTCTAGAATCAGTAATATCCCCCTCCTACCGTGGAAATCCTGTCATTTCCATCAGCACAAAAATGTCAACTGATATTTAAAAGAAACAAACAAACAAATCGGTCCTTGTCCTTGTGTTTCTCTAGTCCAGTTTCTCCTTCCTCAGAAGGATGATTATCTATGCTCCTCATCTACTTACTTCCTTGCCTCACAGCCTCTCTTTTGTTTACTCCAGTCTGGCTTTCAGTCCCACTAATCCAATAAAATTGCTCTATTTATGCCACCTACATCCACATCCTCTAGATTCTGTAGTCCTCTGTTCTCTTTCTACTTCCGTTTCAGCATTTGATAAAGTTAGCTATTCTCTTCTTGAAACACTTTCTTTTTTGGTTTTTAGATTCTGTTTCCTTCTGCATTTTTTCCCCTACCTCACAGGATTGCTTTTTAATCTTTACTGGCACTTTGGGCTAGTTACTAACCTTATCTATAAGGTGGTGATAAAGGTAGCATTGAAAAAAGAATATTCTGTATTAATAATCCTCTGATTCCAACCGATATCATCAACTTCGTTTTTCATTAGTCACCAGTTTCAGATTCTGTTCCAGGAGAGTCGTTTGTGTTGCCCTGTGCTAGGCTTATTCATTATACCTCTGCATTGTTATGTGTTTCTCATGGAATTCTGTCCTTTCTTTTTTTCCTCTTTAAGACCTTTCTCAAAACATTTTGTCCAGAAATCCTTCTTCATGGTAATGTGATTTAGTGCTCCTTTATTATGTATTCTCAGTTCCTTTCGCCATATAGGCTTATACTTTCCTACTTTGTGACTGTTTAATGTGGTTTTTAAACAACGTGACTTGTCTTTTTAGGTAAATTACATTGTATAGAGTAGGGAATATATATTTCCTCATGTCCTGTGGATTCTGTGTTGTAGTATTTTGTGTTTATTATTATTATTATTATTATTATTATTTTAATATTTTATTTTATTTTACTTTTGAAATGGGGTTTCACCGTCTTGGCCAGGCTGGTCTCAAACTCCTGACCTCAGGTGATCCACCCACCTCGGCCTCCCAAAGTGCTGGGATTACAGGCATGAGCCACCGTGCCCGGCCCCCTATTATTGCTTTTGATAGTTAAATTACTAAAGTACTGATTGAAAAATAGTGTTACAGGTTTTTAGGGAAAGGAGCTATTTGTGTTCACAGTTGTAAAAATATTAACATTGGCCATTGTTGTATACTTTGGGGTTTTGTTTAAGGTTCTGCCATTACTGCAGTAGCCACATCTGTGTGTCATGGCCCACCCCATCGCCAGCTTCATCATGCCCTCATACCTCATGGGAAAGGTGGACGTTCCTCATTCAGTGGGGTCGTGGCCACTGTGTTTGGAGCAACAGGATTCCTGGGCCGATATATTGTCAATCACCTTGGTAAGTAAAGTTCCTTGAGTTCATATGCTCCATTGCCACTGGTCAGGATTGCCTGATGAGAAGCCATGAGCTATATTTCTCTTCATTTTAACAGCATTATCAATTACTCCTATCTTGGACGTATGTAATTTTTATTTGTTGTGACATTACGAGCACACTCATGCTCCTGTATAGGAATTATTAAGATGGGAATAAGGGACTCTGAAAAGCTATGGCATCCTTAGCATGGCAAAATATTCCTTTTGTCAAATATAATATCAATTCACATACTGTATTAGAATTTAGATATTTACCAAATCACAATTGTATAATATATCCACGTTATGTTAATGTTGATCCTTTTTGCAATCGATTCTTTTAGGACGCATGGGGTCACAGGTGGTTATACCTTATCGGTGTGATAAATATGACATCATGCACCTTCGTCCCATGGGTGACCTGGGCCAGCTTCTGTTTATGGTAAGGGCCTTTATGGCTGATTGAAGTTGACAAATACACATTGCTAAGATCATTTTTAGGAGTAAGAGGGCTGATTGATTGAAACTGACAAATATAAATTACTAAGATCATTTTTAGGAGTAAGAAGCAGATGAAGCAGTAATTTCATCCTAAAATGAACCAGAGGCACTCTCTATTCACAGGTCATTCTTTCAGGTAGGTTCCCACATCTTCTTTGTCATGCAAGCTCTAGACTGGCAGTTGGCAAACTTTTTCTGTGAAGGGCCAGATAGTAGATATTTCTGGCTTCGCAAGTCATAGTCTTTGTCATATTTACTCAGCTCTGCCTTTGTACCTGGAAGTAGCCATAGACAATATGTATACAAATGGGCATGACTGCTTTTCAATAAAGTTTTATTTACAAAATTAGGTTGCAGGCCAGATTTGGCCTATGGACTATAGTTTGCCAATCCCTGGTCTAGCCTTGTGCTATCTAATGTGGTAGCCACTGGCCACATGTGACTACTGAGCACGTGAAATGTGGCTAGTCTGAATTGAGATATGCTGTGTGTATAAAATATGCAGCAGATTTCAAAGACTCAGTATGAAGGAAAGAATATATAATATATCATAGTTTTTGTATTTGTTACATATTAAATAATATTTTGGATATAGTAGGTTAAATAAAATATGTCATTAAAATGAATTTCACTTGTTTCTTTTTCACTCATGTGCCTCATGTTGTATTTCTGTTGGATAGTGCTCTATAGACACTAAAAAATCACAAATGCAGTGTTTTATAACTTGGTTATTTAGCATAGTTAAATCTTAGAACAGTCCTTTCTGAGCATTCCCTTTGTCATTCTGTAATCTACAGGTTCTTCCTTTAGTAGTTGCCAGTGGGGTGAGGCAGGGGAAAGACCATAAAGGAAAGCCATTAAGGGAGCGATTAATGGAACTCTTTGGTTACCACAGTGATCGGGGAACCATCCTAGTTATTAGGTACAGGCCAGGGATGCTAAATATCCTACAGAGCACAGGACAGTCCCTTTCCACAAAGAGTTGTGCTGCCCCAAATGCCTGCAGCCAAGCTATTGATTGCTATACTCTCTGGCCTTGATGCTGAAGTCTACTGGATCTTATAGCTGACTTCCTACTTGTATTGTCCTATAAGGAATGGAGCTCTTCCAGTTACACATATTCCCTTTTAAAAGATATGTGCTAAACATCCTTACTATCTCTGGTAATAGTCCTACAAATTATTTGTAATCCCTTTAAATTTTAACTTACTTTCATTTCATTTTCACATTTTCATTTATTCTTTATTCACTGTTCACAAGCTAAGTATAATACTCATATTATAACTTTCTTATTTCTAAAATGTTTTTCTTCTCCAAAATCTTACTATTAAGTATCTTCTTGATATTAAAGTTATAGAACCTTAGCTTATTCCCAGTTCTTTGTGCCTTAAGTTTACTGGTCATCTTGTCAGAGCCTCAAAATTGAAGTATTTAAAAAGTGGCAGGTGAAAACTTTTGAACCATTGGAATTAACTAAATGACATCTATTCCATTATTTCTGGAGAGATTTATTTTCTGAGTGTCTGGCATTGACCTGTGTTCTGAGCACATTTGGATGAGCACAACCACAGGGAACTCAGAGGCTTATATGTTTAAGTGTTTGTTTATGTGTTTATTTTCGAGAACTATTTGGGGTGTGAGGTGCTGATTTCTTGCTTTAGTCTTTGTTTGCAACTCTTGTCTGAATGGCCACTTGTTTTACCTACCTGACTGTGCGCCCTTGGGCCTTATTCCTGAGAATTTGGTTTTCTTTTAATATGTCACTCACTGCTGTAGGTTTTGTGTATATTTCTCTTAATCCTCATAATAACCTCATGAGGTAAGTTGTGTTTTCTAATTTTACATGGGGCTTGAAGAGATAATTTGTACAAAGTTAGTACATGGCAAACTGAGATTTGTATTCCTGTCTGTTTGACTCCAGAGCCACTGTTCTAGACTATGCCTTTTAACCCACTCTCTATCATCAGTCGTAACTGGTTCTTTCTGCTGGGGCTTCATCTTTGTTCTTGAATCTCATTTTATAGTTTGTTTTCTCTTTTCTAAGTTAAACAGCATTTTAGTTCTCTCTCCATCTCTCTTTCCCTCATCCCTGCTTTCTTTGTCTTTTCTCTTCTTGCCCCATCTCCCTCCCATTGCACTGACCCATGTATGTGCACTTACTATTTGGTGCTAAGAAATTCTTATTATTTGTTATCTTCCATTGAAATGCTTATAGAAACCAGCCCTTGGCTCACCCTGAAGTTTTAGGTAGTTCTTTTAGACTCTTGTTTTTATGTTGTTAATGTAGAAATGACTAGATCTGGGGTTATAAAATAGGAAAGAATTAAAATGAAATAAGAAAATAGCAATGAATGGCCCGATTAATACTAACCTTTAATAGACACCCTCCCTATCTTCAGTCTGTAAGTGGTTGCTGTCAAGAAGGGAAAGTCTCTGTCTCCCAAATGATCCTCGGTTCTTTGGCTATATTTCAAGAGAGGAGACTTGGTTTACTGGTGTCTTTTTTCAAACTTAGTGGGCAGTAGTTCGGTGGACAAAAACAAATATGCTCCATTAAAAATCAGTAGCCTCCTTTCTAGCTCTCATTTGATTACCTGAGTAAAGTGTACTTTTACATGTTTGTCTCCAAAAGAGTGAGAGAATCAGCAGGGAGTTTGAGACATCATGTCTGTTGTAATAGATGGAGCTTGTATGAAATGGCACCATATTATGACTTATTTTGAAACTGGCATTGAGGAGGCTACAGAAGTGTTGAATGCCAAGGTATACCCCGCTATGTTTTCATCTGATTGCCTTCTGCTATTATAGGAATGGGACTCGAGAGATAAAGATTCTATCAGACGAGCTGTGCAACACAGCAATGTGGTCATCAATCTTATTGGACGAGACTGGGAAACCAAGTAAGTCTTTGACTCTCGTTTCTTCTTTGTTAAAGTCTCTCTTAGGGCTTAATAGACCTTTATTGGGCACCTTCTATGTGCCAGCTATCACAGTGACATTTTCAGTTAGTTAATAAGGGTTGGTTGAACAATCACTTGCATACCCAGTGACACCCCTTAGGAGATGTAGCTGACATTAAGTCTGGTATAAGTCAGTAGTGTGATATACTGCCCATAAAAAGCCAGTAGGTAGTATTGGGGTGGCTAGTGTTGGTCCTGTGCTTGGATTAGTCCCTATGGGATGGCGTTAGGAAATAGGATTTTGCCTGTTCTGTTGTTTAGCAAGTTGAACATTGGGTTTCCTTGTGTAGACAGTGTTCTAGATGTCTTTTCTGCATTGCTAACTGGAGATGGCACAAGGACTAACTTGAACAGTTCTTTGTGTGGGTTGATTATTAGCAAATATTGTTTTATCTTATAGTCCACAACACTTTGTTTACACCTCATTTTTTAGCGTTAAAGTTTGACTTAGTTTTATTTTATTTTATTTATTTTTTCTTTTTTTGAGACGGAGTTTTGCTTTTATTACCCGGGCTGGAGTGCAATGGCGCGATCTCGGCTCACAGCAGGCTCCGCCTCCTGGGTTCAGGCAATTCTCCTGCCTCAGCCTCCTGAGTAGCTGGGATTACAGGCATGTGCCACCATGCCCTGCTGATTTTTTGTATTTTCAGTAGAGACAGGGTTTCACCATGTTGACCAGGATGGTCTCGATCTCTTGACCTCATGATCCACCCGCCTCGGCCTCCCAAAGTGCTGGGATTACAGGCGACTTAGTTTTAATATATGCCTTTCTTATCAAATATTTTATTAATTATTTGATGACTTGGAGGTCTTATTCAACTTTTTATGCCCCCTAGTGATTAACATAGTATATTATACAGAGTGAACATTTAGTTAATGTTACTGAATAAAATTGTTGACTGGCTATTTTCAGTTTCTTCTTTTTACCTTGAGGGAAACAAAGTCCCAGGGGTACGAAGTGATTCCCAACACTTCTCTCCCCCACAGCAACCAATATAGCCAGGATTCTTTAAAGGGCCTCAGTGTCGGGATTCCTTGATAATGCAGAATATGATATATACTGGATTTATTATAACTTAGAGTAGGCCTCAAATTGTGTAGAGTAATGACAGTGTGCAAGACCTGTAAATTTTTTTTTTAAAAAATTGTGGCTTAAACACTTTTTTTTTGTTTGTTTGTTTTTTTAGAAATAGAGACATGTTTAACATATTTACCATGTTGCCCAGGCTTGTCTTGAACTCCTGGGCACTAGTGATTCACCTGCCATGGCCTCCCAAAGTGCTGGAATTACAGGCATGAGTCACTACACCTGGCCAATTTTAGCTTTAAGTTAAATTATTGCTGTTTAAAAGTTTCAGTAGTATGAATTTCAGTACTGTTACAAAAACAACCAGCTTTGAGATCCTGTGTCTGGAGTTCTCAACCAATCCTTTTTTTTTTTTCTTCCAGACACTTTGATTTTGCGGATGTTTATGCGAAGATTCCTCAAGCAATTGCTCAAGTGTCCAAGGAAGCTGGAGTTGGAAAATTCATCCATGTTTCGCATTTGAATGCAGATATGAAAAGTTCCTCCAAATATTTGAGAAATAAGGTAAGTAACAAATTGATTTGGGAAGTGGTTTGCAGAGCCAGAGTTTCTTGGCCCATCTGAAACATGATTTCACTGAGAAGGGTTTATCATCGACATATCTAGAATTAAAGAAGGGTTTATCATTGACATATCTAGAATTAAAGGTTTTCTGATTCCCTGCATCCAGAACTAGGTTTGTATGTGTGATGTTTTGACATTTTAGTTGAGTGCCTTCTGTTTGCAGGAAACTGCTAAGGGCCTTCAGAGTTGGCTAGACCATGTAACTAATGGAATTCAGATACCTAAAGTTTCTTTGAGGCATCACTGAAATGCACAGAAACCATCACAGAAGGCAGAATATCATTTCTGCCAAAGGAATCATACCTGTGTCATCTACCATGGTTAAAAGATCATCTTTCTCACCCCTTGCATTGTAACGGTTTTATGCCACTCTTAAAGGGGCAATGTGAAGGCTCAGAATGACAGGGATTAATATTTGCCAGGGAAGATGCCTATTCACATAGTACTTACACTCCTTTTACTCCCAGAAATGCCATACCTAGAGATTAACCACTGTAGTTTGGAGTCAGTCTGTAACCTGAGTGAAACGTCTTCATTATTAGAGACTCAGAAGGGATATCAGTGTCTATCAGTGCCCTTAACATTTGGATTCTGCCATATGGAAACCTGTTTTGAGTCATACTGATAAAGACAACAGAGTTCCTTCAGAATAGTTCCAAGTTTTTGACTCACCACATTAATTTACTGGATAAACTATTCATGAAGCACCTACTCTGTATCATATATTGTGTTACACACGGTGAATACAGTAGTAAATAGAATAGACTTGGTCCTAGCCCATATTAAGTTTTTAGTCCAAATTAAGTTTCTAGTCCACAGTTTGCTACTTTGCAACATTTGGTACATCTGGAATTATTTTTTAATTCCAGATGTACCAAATGTTGCAAAGTAGCAAACTGTGCCAAAGGGACATATAATCAGGGAGAGAGGGCACTTTATCAGTTAGGAGCATTTAATTACTAGCATCAGAAAATCTAATGTAAACTGGCTTAAAATGGGGAGTTTATAGGCCCATGTATCTATAAATAATAAAACAAATAAAATAATTTAAAAATAAATAAATAAAAAATAATTTAAAAAATCTAGCAATAGGGAACCTTAGCCACAGATTGTGCCAGGGTTTGTTAGGGCTCCTTGTTTCTCTGACTCTCAGCTTTGATTTTCTCTTTGTGTGGCTTTGTTTCTCACAGTCACAGAGCTAATATAGCACATCCAGGTCTCACATTTTCATGCTATGCTGAAGAAAGAGAGAAAATAAGAGACAGAATACTTGTGCCTGCCTCTGCTGAAACATTCATAAAATCATCTGAATTTCATGACTGTTTGGAAGGGAATAGGAGGTGTCAGCGGTGAGGCAGAGAGAAGAGTCAGAAATGTCCAGCCCTCTGGCTGGAGCCGTTGGGTGGATGATAGTACTGTTGAGTAAGATGGGAAATATTAGAGAGGGACTAGCCTGTAGGGCAGTGATTCTTAGCCTTAGTTGCACATTAGAACCACTGAGGGAGTTTTATAAAGCTCTGATGCCTAGGCTGTTCTTCAGACCAATTAAAACCATCTCTGGGGTTGCAACATTGGCACCAGTATGTTTTAACTCTCTCTAGGTAATTCTGAGTGTAGCAAAGATTGAGGAACAGTATTTTACTTGAGAGAATGGAAGATAATTGAGTTTTGGACTCATGTTTCAGGTGCATTTCAGATGTGTATCAATCTTCCAGGTAACTGATACGTAAGGTTTCTGATCCTGGAGGTCAGAAGAGAGGTCTGGGTTGGAGACAGAAATGTAGTTACCAGCATTGTTGTTAATTGAAGTAATGGGAGGGGATAAGATGGCTAAAGATTGAGAAGAGAGTTTCGGATTGGGCCTAGAGCATACCAATGGTTAATGATCTGGTAGAGGAGGAGGCATCTGCAGAAACCCAAACCAATCAAAGACTAAGCAGGATGTGATAAGGCAGAAGGGAAACCAGGAGAGTACAATGCTAGGGAAGCCAAGGCAAGACAGTCTCGCAGGAGGAAGTGAATACTTATGAATGCCATTGAGAAGTCATGCAAGATGATGACTGTACAGTCACCTTGAATCTATTGACATGGAGGTCATTGGTGATCTTATCAACAATAGATTCAGTGCAAAGGTTGGAGCAGAATCCAGAATGCAGGTGAGTGAAAAGTGAATTGGCACTGAGGCAGTGGGAATGGCAAGGGTAGGTACATTTTCAGGTAGCTTGACTGGCAAGAAGAAGATGAAAGACTGAGAGAATAGAAGCTGGAGAAGGATGTGGAGTTGGAATTTTTTTTTTTACAGTAAAGATCTACATTGTTTAAATGCTGGTAGGGAGATGCTGGTGGAAAGAGTGAGGCTGAAGATGTGGAAGAAAGAATAAATTGGATAGGTTCCTGAGAAAGTGAAAGGACATGAGCTCTAAAGCATTGGAAGTGACGCTGTTCCTCCTTCAGGTAAGAGAGGAGGAGAAAATTGTGCTTTATATACCTGAGTTTGTAGATTTACTGGTGAGAACTTGAGGTAGTTTTTATCTAGTGTTTTATACTTTCTCTTTTATTAGAAGGTAAAGTCATTTACTGGAAGGAAAAGGAAAGAAAGGGATGTCTGAAATTTGAATAGAATAGAAAATGTTTCAAGTTATCTCATAGGAAGGTAAATTAATTAGAGGAAAACACTATTTTTGGGAAATGTTGAGGGCCCAGTTAAAATTGTTGGCATGAATTCATAGTGGTACCAATTCATGATTTTTACTGATTTATTTTCCTGCCTGCTGCTCAAGGCAGTGGGAGTGCATGGCCCAAGGAAGGCAAATGGAGTTCTAGGATTAGAATTTTGAATGGTGGCTAGAATAAAGGACAAAGGGAAAAGGTAGTTTACAATATTGGCAAGAGAATGATGGGAAGATGGCCTATGGAACCTAATCTGGAATTCAGAAGGGAGAACAGGAACAGTCAGAAGGGTTGATACAGGGGAAGCAGAATCGGTGAACTAGAATTCTTGAGAAGGCCAAGAAACAGGTGTCCCAGGAGCAGACAGACAAAGA